TTACAAAATTTGTATTCTATGGCGTATATTTTAACTCCTGAAGGACATAGACCCGAGGAGTTGATAGTATATCCAAGAGGAGTGGATGTCCTTTAAATTGATACCAATTATATTGTCGTATGTACTCGGATGTGGGAGATACACTTAAATAGTTACAAGTGCTTACGTATTGATATATTTAGTAGCGCTGATCGCTTTTAAATTTTCCATGAGGATCCAGGTATGGTTAACTACAACGGCTATAATTTTTGGTGACGATCTGATAATAATTTTGGGATGAATTGGACCGATAACTTAATTTTTGGTGTTTTTTCGGGTCGATCTATAGGTCACAATTGAAAGCCGAACATCACAACACAACCCACCGTGAAGGGAATCTGTACTGAATATTAGTAATATTTGTTGACCTCTAGTCGGTCAATAGGGTGCAAATATCGTGAAATATTGTTAAGATCGTGGATGTTGTATAGGGTAGGGCTCCATCCGACTATACTGCTCCGCTCAGTGGTTTAAAAATTTTTTTCAATGATTATCAAAGGCGTAGATTTTTATACCCTTCACCACACTGTGGTACAGGGTAATATGTCTTTGTGTATATGTTTGTAACAGGTAAAAGGAATTGAGATAGACCCATGATACCTTTTGAGAATATGCATAGAATCACTTTCTGAGTCGATTTATGCATGTCCGTCCGTCCGTTCGCCTGTTGATGTTAAATTGTAAACAAAGTACAGGTCGCATTTGTGATTCGAATTGAGTCACAGCTCATTTATTTGGCCCAAGGATTAACCCTATTGAAATTGGGAAAAATTGGTTCAGTTTTATATATATCTCCCATATATATTTTCTTCCGATTTAAGGTAAATGGTGCGCCAAAGACCCTACATATCTTTCGATTTGCACGAAATGTGGCATAGCGTAATGAATTAGGTCTAGAATGATGTGTGTTACGTTTCCTGAAAATCGGTTTAGATTTAGATATATATACTTTCGTCCGATTTAAGGTAAATGATGCACCAATGTCGCTAAATATCCTTCGATTTCCACGAAATTTGGCACAGCGTAATGAATAAGGTCTAGAACGATGTGCGTCAATTTTCCTAAAAATCGGTCCAGATTTAAATATAGATCCCATATATATTTGTGTCCGATTTATTGTAAACGGTGTACCAAAGTCCCTATATATATCTTTCGATTTGGACGAAATTTGGCTCAGCATACTGAATTAGGTCTAGAATGATGTGCGTTAAGTTTCCTGAAAATCGTTTCATGTAAATGGTGTACCAAAGTCCCTATATATCTTTCGATTTGCACGAAATTTGGCATAGCGTAGTAAATTAAGGGAACCCCACCCATTCTTGATTTTAATTTTTCAAGATTTTCAATGGGCTAGTAAATCAATACCAATGCTTGTTAATGTTATCGTGCCCGCCATTCGCAAAAGAGAAAACGCGTTTAAAGTTTGAGAAGCCCTTTAGCCGTCACTTGATGCTGACACAATAAATTGGCTATATCTTCAAGAGTTCTTGAGATTTTCACTTGAAATTTTGTAGATACATTCTAGAATTAGTGTAGAATCGAATTAAATAAAAAAAAAATTGACCCCGAGAATGGGGGGTCCCCTTAAGCCTATAGTGATGCGTGTTCAGTTTCGTGAAAATCGGTTCAGATTTAGATATAGCTCCCATATATATTTTCGCCCGATTTAATGTCAAAGGTGTACCAAAGTCCCTATATCTCTTTCGATTTGTACGAAATTTGGCACAGCGTACTGAATTTAGACTAGAATGATCTCTGGCAAGTCTCGTTAAAATCGGTTCAGATTTTGATGTAGCTTCTACATATATATTTTCGTCCGATTTTACACAAAATTGACACAATTTTTGCACAACGTACTGAAGTTAGCATAACCTAGAAGTTGGATATAAATGCTTCACCAAAGTGGTTCCGATTGGCACAACGTACTGAAGTTTATATAACATAACGTGTGGCAAGTTTTGTTGAAATCGGTTTAGATTTAGATATAGCTCCTATATATAGTTTCGTCCGATTTTAAGTAAAATGTGTACCAAAGACCCAAAGTTGGGCTGTTTGCTACAAAATTTTGCACAATGTACTGAAATTAGTATAGCCTTCTGTGCCTCAAATTTTGTAGGAATCGGTTCAGATTTAGATATAACTCCCATATATAGTTTCGTCCGATTTTATGTAAATGGTTCACCAAAGACCCAATATTAGCCCGATTGACAAAAAATTTTGCACAATGCACGGAAGTTAATATAACCTAGCGTGTGGAAAGTTTGCAAATCGGTTCAGAATTGGATGGAGCTCCTATATCGGTTCAGAATTGGATGGAACTACTACATATATTTTCTCCCGATTTTAAGTACATGATGTACCAAGAACTCAAAATATGACCGATATGCTCAAAACATACTGAAATTAGTATAACTTAACCTGTGACAAGTTTCGATGAAATCGGTCTATATTCGGTTATATATTCGAATAGCTTTTAAATATATATTCGTCCGATTTTTAGTAAATGGTGCACCAAACTACTCATGTTTATCCAATCGGACAACCAGATTGATATTTGCTTTAAATTTACATATTTTTTTCCCATTGTAAGATGCAACTCTATATCTGGCCAAATGAAAAATTTAGTATAGGTTGCAGAATGACATGTTTATGGATCAATTTTCATGTTAATGGTCCTTCAAAAATGCGACGTCTGTTAGGATTCATCTGTTGAATATACCCAAAGTGGTGAAAGGTATCATATAGTCGGCCCCGCCCGATTTTACTACTTTCCTTGCTGGTTTAAAAATATTTTGTGGATTTTTTAAAAATTTCAGTAGAGTTGGCGGGTTATTTTTTTAATATTTTTTGAATTTTTTAAATATTTTTTGGAGTTTTTAATTTTTTTTACAAATATTATTTGGATTGTTTATATTTATATATTTTTAAATCTTATATTTATTATTTTTAAATCTCATTTTATTTTATCATTCTAACACTTTAATTTGCCCAAACGTATTCTGTTAATTTTAATTTAATGGCTGTCATCGTTTTTTTCTCACTTTTTTTGATTGATTTATTTTCAGAACAAAACTTTCGGAAATGTTCTACGAAATTGTAGAACAGCCTCAGTTTTTCTCTTAAAATTTCTTCTTCGAGAGCTTTCCCTTATTCGCCTCAATACCCTGAGCAAATTAGGTATCATCTCTTAAATTGTTGATGAATTTTCTAGATATACAAAAAAGTTGGCATTGAGAAAATGTGGCCCAAAACAAAGTTCAACGATAACAAAAATAAAAGGAACCGAAAAACATGTTGTATAGAAAATTCGGAACAAAAGTAAATCGAGAAAACAAACGATAAATTATGTAGTGGTTGTTGGTGTAGCCATGGGAACAAACAAAAATAGAATATAAACAAACGATAAAAACAAACAAACAAATTCTATTTACCCCAATTTTTTTTATAAAGGTTGAGGTTAACGATAACAACAATGCCCGATACAGCATTTGTTTAACAACGAGAGAGAAAAAATAGAGAAACAACCCAATTGCATATATAGTTTATGGGGTTTATTATACCTCAAAATTTTATTAAATAATATTTAATTTCATATTTATATAGAGTAATGGTTTATCACATTAATTAATAATTATAAGAAAAAATAAAAACAAAATGATAATTCATGTTTTATGTGCTTGTAGATAATTGCTAATTATAAGCCAGGAAAAAGAAGATAATTTATTGGGGTTTTTGTGGTATAGTAATCATATATTTTTAAATTAATTATAATAAACAAAAACAAAAAATGATGGTGAATTATTATATAATACTCAAACAATTTCTAATTGTAATTTTTATTTTCGAAGCAAAAACCAGATCAATTGACAATTTTGTGTTGTTTTTTATTTAAATGCTCAACAAAGAGTAGTTATAATAGGTCACAAAGTTCGGTAGTGATGTTGTTTCCGTTTGATGTGCGACCCTCCACTTTCCATTTTTCTTTTTGGTTGTTGTTTTTTTTTTATTCCTCTCCCCTTCCAAAAATACCCTGAGCAAATTAGGTATCATCTCTTAAATTGTTGATGAATTTTCTAGATATACAAAAAAGTTGGCATTGAGAAAATGTGGCCCAAAACAAAGTTCAACGATAACAAAAATAAAAGGAACCGAAAAACATGTTGTATAGAAAATTCGGAACAAAAGTAAATCGAGAAAAAAAACAAACTATAAATTAGGTAGTGGTTGTTGGTGTAGCCATGGGGACAAAAAATAAATAGAATATAAACAAACGATAAAAAACAAACAAATTCTATTTACCCCAATTTTTTTTTATAAAGGTTGAGTTTAACGATAACAACAATGTCCGATACAGCATTTGTTTAACAACGAGAGAGAAAAAATAGAGACACAACACACTTGCAAATATAGTTTATGGGGCTTATTATACCTCAAAATTTTATTAAATATTATTTAATTTCATATATAGAGTAATGGTTTATCACATTAATTAATAATTATAAGAAAAAATAAAAACAAAATGATAATTCATGTTTTATGTGCTTGTAGATAATTGCTAATTATAAGCCAGGAAAAAGAAGATAATTTATTGGGGTTTTTGTGGTATAGTAATCATATATTTTTAAATTAATTATAATAAACAAAAAAAAATGATAGTGAATGATTTTTTTTATATAATACTCAGACAATTTCTAATTGTAATGTTTTTATTTTCGAAGCAAAAACCAGATCAATTGACAATTTTGTGTTGTTTTTTATTTAAATGCTCAACAAAGAGTAGTTATAATAGGTCACAAAGTTCGGTAGTGATGTTGTTTCCGTTTGATGTGCGACCCTCCACTTTCCATTTTTCTTTTTGGTTGTTGTTTTTTTTTATTCCTCTCCCCTTCCAAAAACTCTTTGTTGCTACTAGTGTGGTGGTTTCTACTGCATAAACGATGTTATTGTTGTTTTTCATTTAAATAAATTATTTAACAAATTTATTGCTTTTGCAAGTATTCATCGAACAAGTAGACGGCCAAAGAAGGATCTTGGACATTCATCAATTTGGACAAATCGTTAGCATAACCAGACAATTTGCGTACAGTATCAGCTTGCTTGGTCAAGAAGTTCTCTTCAATGTAGTGGGCAATTTCAGGGTCACGTTCGGTCGAGTGGAGGGCACGGGTATGAACATGCATGGCACCAGCGCTCAAAGTCTTCTCAGTATCCAAAGCCATGGCCAAAGAGTGCAATTCATCGACTTCCATTTGCATGCGAACCTTGGAGACGGTAGCGGGACTTTCGTGGACGGTATTGAAGTTAACCTTACCACCACGGCTGGTCAATTTCTTGATCAAGGCAATGGTATCGTCGAAAGTGCGGTCAGACAAGCCTTGGTACAATTTCTGGAAACCGGGACGATTCTTTTGGTAGTTGTTGAAGTAGGTGGCCAACAACAAGTAGTCATAGGATTTGGTCAATTGAGAGTTAACATAGGCCTGGACTTCGGGTTCGATGTGATCGATGCCACCCATGCGGGCATTGCAAACATTGGCACCTATTCCAAGGAAAGAAAAGAGAAAATAAAAAAGATTGCAAATTAAAATTTGAATTTATGGCGTTGTGTTTAACAACAACAAAAAATATAGAGATTGTGGAAAACAAGCTTTACAAATAAGAAATGCATTTTTTGATTAAACAAATATGGCGACAATTACTTTTTCAAACTGCGACAATTTTCTGATTTAGCTGTATCAGCAGCAAAGTTTCGTTCTTATCTCTGTATAAATCGAGATCACCTCTGTGGTTGTCCGGCTGCTGATTGTAAACTATGTTTATATAAATTACGTTGTAGACATTTTTATGTTCCTAATGAGATTGAAGGTTAATTAGTTGTCATTTGTTTAGTTATTTGTTGCTGTTTTTTGGATTGCAATCGCGGAAAACAGACTTGGAAAACATGGGATTTTTTCTGGATGACCATGATCTCAGGAATTTTCAGAAAAAAAAAAATAAATTATAAAGTACGGATTTTGACGATTAGGAATATGAAGAAGTCAACTTAAAGTTGTGTGGCAATTATAGCCGAATTGTAAAAAATATGGTCTTCTATATTCTTTAAATCTGAAGGTACTTTTTATGAGCTCTATCCCCAAATATGGAACAGTGGGTCACTATTTGTTTGAATATCAAAAATTGCAAGTGTCAAAAAAATCCGTAAAAAGCATGTTTAAAATTGTTGGTATAAATTAGAACCACTTTTAATGTCTAATTTCCTATACATAGAGAATGATTTTTTTATAATGTTGATAATTTTCATATATGATATTTTTTCTAGTCTCTAAACAATTCTTGTACCAATTTTCGTTGCCCAAACTAACTTCTTTAGATCAAGTCGTTCTTTAGATCAATAGAAAATATTTGCCAAAGCATAGACCTCAAGAGGCAACCTTCAATCTCATTCGAACTGCAAACAAATGTCATGATTGGCTAAATTATTTACTACCTCTCTCACCGGAAATCTTAAAATGTTATTTGGCTACAAAGGTTGTTTTATCTGGACTTTGTTCTCCCTTTGGAAACTATTAAGCCAAATAAAGTTTCTTAAAGAGGATCTATATGCCAATTTCAACATTTTTAGAATTATTTAATATGATTGTAATACGAAATATTTCCAGATCAATTCGAGGAAATTACTCATATCTTCTAACTGCTCCAAAAATATTTGAAAATCTTGTCATGGTCAAAATATTTACTAGCTATCTTACAGTTACCCTACAACATTATTTGGAGATGAATTCAGGACTTTCTGAAGCGGATTTATATGACCCTTCAATAATATCCTCTGCTTCAAGAAACTTTGGAAAGTCTTTTCAATTCGTGGATTTGCAAACTATAATCCTCTTCGGTTATCCGACATAAAATCAGTTAGGTTAAAATATTGGCAACTTTCTCACAGCTACCCTGCAACGTTTTTGACTTCCTGATACGAGGGACCTGTGCCTTACTATGCAAACATTTTGAACTTTATCCTTGAATAATGTCCTGAAAACGTATATAGTCTCTCTGCTGCTTGAAACTTTGAAAAGTTTTGCCAACTCGTAGATTTGCAATCTTAAATTCTCTTCGTTAATCCAACATATCTAGATTTGTCGAATCTGATCTATATGACCCTCGCCACTATTTACACCGAAAAAACGTCCAGAATTCTGACAATTAAGAGTAGCCGATCAATTTCAAAACATTCGAATAAGATTTTCGTTTGACTACCAAATAAATGTAGAAAATGTGGATCTGTACTGACGACATGTAAAGGATACGTCTTTTCTAAAGACCCCAACTCTGAAAGCAATATCATTTCTTCTAATCTGCTCCTTGTTATTACCTTATTGGCTTCAAGGATTTAGTTTGATATTAGGAATCTTCACTCCCTTTTATAATCCCTTAGACTTCTCGAACCTCATCTTTCTAACCATACAAACGACACAATCCTCCGATTTTTGTATTCAATTGAGATCTAAGAGATTTTGAAATCTTATTAAGATATCTCCAAAATTGATGGGGCATTTGTGAACATATTTACGTTTCCAAATATTTATATTACTGATAATATTAAAGTCGAAACTACCTTTTGAGATAATTTTCCCTCAATAGATATGAAAAAATGATCAATTCAAGACCTATAGTACCACAATCTTCTATTAGGTTTCCTCAATAAACGTATACAAATTTGTGACCAGAATTGCCGATATTTGATCTGTTTCAAAAACTGCAAGAAACTTCAGTAAAAAGAATTGTCTTCGTTTGAAATTGAAAAATTTGTTAGCAGTTGTTGAATGCGGGAACGGTCTAATTGTGATCTAACGAAAAATATTTGTTGTTATATTTTTTCAGTAAAATAAGAAAAGGAATACCTTATCTACTGGAATTGGAAGCGCGTATTCCCCTAATTTTAGTTTTGTTTTTCTTATAAGATCGTGATGTTTAGTAAATTTCCTTTATCTGACTTCTATAGTTCCCTGATTAATTATATTCAGTTCCCTCTTTATCAATCAAATCAGTTTTTTATGAAGTTTCCCACACTTGACTTCCGATCTATTTCTTTGATCAATGATATTCAAACACTTCCTGCTCTTTGTTAAAGAAAAAGTAATTGTCGCCAAACTACTACGAGAAAATATAAAAAAAGTTTAATAAAATGGCTTTAATGAATTCTAAACAAATGGTCTTACTTTCACTAGCAAACATTCCCGCAATTGCTTTGGGTTATTTTAATTTTTTCAATGATTTCGTTTTTTTTAATTTGTTTTTTTTTAATGATAAAAAAGAAATAGAATAAAAATCAAACAGATATTTTTTGTTTGGTTAAAAAATGTTACGAAATTACAGAGATTAACATTTAACAGAGTAGGTATTCGAATGAGAATAACATAACAGGGGGTCGTCAACAAGCAGTTAACATTAGCTATGTTATTACATTTACAGTAATGTAATGAATGTTAAATTGTTTATTTATGTTAAAGACATGTTTCTGTTATGTTATTCCCATTACATGTTACACACTAACAGCTACAGCAATATTAAGTTAATTATTTTGCATTACATTATTTTTCCAATAAAAAAAATCCTAACATAATTGCGCTCCACAATAAAATTATGTTAACATCAAATTCAAAAGTACTTACCAGAGAGAGTGGAAGAGGCACAAGCTCTGACAACGTTGTTGTGACAGACTTCCTCGGTATTAACTACGGCGCAAATAGCGGCGAGCACAGCAATAGCAATGAACGACTTCATGTTTGTTTCTCTTTTTTTTCTTTGTATACAAGAAAAATCTACAAAATGAAGGAATGGAAGAAAACAAAGAAAATAATGTTAATTTTGGAATTTTTAATAACAACTATTCACAATAAAATTTATTTTCACTAATTAATAATTGATCTACAAATATTTCACACCTTTATGTGCTTTCTTCGTTGGAATACAATTGACGAATAATGATTTTCCACTTCTGGCAATTGCTTTTTAAATAAAAAAATTATTCTTGAAATTGTCTTCCACCAAAGAAATGCACACACCTACACACACAGCACTATATAATTTATCACATCAATTGTCCAACAAAAAAAAAAATAAACTTTGTATTGAAAGATACAAATCACAACTCAAAAAATTTAACTAATCTTTTAATTCACACACAAAATCTTATTTGAAATATATTGTGAAAACCCTTACTTGTTCTATTATAATTCTAGTTTGTTTTGTTTTTTCTTCTGTTGTCTGTTACTGACTCGTTGAGTTGACGTTTATGTACTGCCTGTTTATACTTTGCCTCAATCGATACTTGTAGTGCTGCTTTGGTCCCCCAGATGACGTTTGCCTTTGTTTTGCACTCATTCACACTCTCATCAGTATGTCAACAACACAAAATAATCCACTCTCTCTCTGTTTCTCAAACGAATCAATATGGCGTCCATTGTTTTTGTTTTGGTTTGCTGTTGTGTGCACACAGTAGCCCTGCTTTGCCTTTGGAGTGCGAAATATTCACTACGTAGTGAATCATACCGTTACAAAAAACAACACATTAGTCTTTGTTATTGTTTTCTTTGCAGGGTTGTCGCTCTTTCTCGTTTGATAACGTTATTACGTAGTTTGTCGTACACATGATTTTATTGTCAATCAATTGGTTTCAACGTCGTGATAAATTGATTCCCCCACTAAATAACTGTGATGGTATTTTCTGGAACATAACAACAAGTGACAGGCAAATTGCAAAAACAACAAATTGAAATTAAAATCGCATAGGCAATATGGCGTCTGTTCGTAATGTATGTGGTTTTTGCATGTGATAAATGAATGTATGTAAAAAAGGAAATTCGTCATAGTTTCTAGAAATATCCTAAATCGCAATTAGGAAAATATTACAAAATGACGCATGTGTTGAGCTTCAATTCTAGTTTTCTGCAAATTTAAAATGGAAACTCGTTTTCCTTAAAAAGTTGTTAATTTGCCTTTATCATTTTCCTTTAAATATTTTTTCATAAAAGTAGAATTAAGCCCCTGGTTTTGACTTACTACGCAATAAATATAAAAAAAAAATGAAATGGAATAATTTGTCTACAGGACTTAGTATCCTCTACATCGTTTAGCATAATTAGCAGACTTTTCTGACACCCAAAACTTTTATAACTCTCTGCAGTAAAACTCCGCTTTTATCTTGGACCTTTTATACAATGTATTGTCTTGTAATGAGTACCCATAGCATGTTGATTTCAACCAACGCTGCACTTTCCGATCCTTACCGTATGCAGCATCCACCATATTCACCAGATCTCTCGCCGACGGATTTTCATTTTTTCAATCATGTAGAACTGTTTTTAAGGGGTAAACACTATGAAAATGAAGACAGTCTAAAAAGCTCGATATTAGAGTTTATTTATTCTAAAGACCAAAATTTTTTTAAGACAGGCATCTACGCTTCAAAATCTCGTTGGGAGAAGTGTATTGAAGCGAATGGAGCATACTTTGATTGAAAAAAACAGCTTTTGAAGAAAGATATGCAGTTTTATATAATCACTTAAGAATCCGACATTTCCTACGCACCAACCAAATAGCACACAAGGTAGAGCTGTATTTTCTATTTGGTGACAAAAGTTGATATACCTTGTATAATTGTACAATGCTCGTAACTATATTGAATTTTTCTCGTAATTGTAAAAAACACACACAAAAAAACTTTCGAATTTTAAATTATTGCAAGATATTGACTTGTACACTCCAAAAACAAAATCCCTATTCAAATTCTAAAAATATAGTCAGATATATACAACGGTGGAAAAATAAAAACAGCGTACTATTTTTTTAGTTTTTTGTTTCTAACTGCAAAACAGTTTTCCATGTTTGCCTCATATGATTCATGGCATAACTATACAAGGTAGTCTTATGCAATCATATGTTCACAATTTATTCATAAATATGCTTTTGACAGTATTCAGCTTTCAAAATTTAAATGAAAATATCTTGAAATTGCTAAATAATTTATATTTATATATATTTTGTAGTTCCCTGCCTCTAAAACATATAAATATAAGTTGTAACAATAATTGTTAAATCTTGAGAGCAAATTTCAGCTTTAGAAAATATATTTTGTTTAATTTATTGAAAACATGCCAATCGACACACATAAAATTTTGTGGAATTTATTTTTCATTTTATTCGAAATTGATATATGAATTCCATGTTAACAAGGGTTGTCATTATCAATTTCTCAAATGAGAAATCTTTAAGGGAAGTTTCATTACAAAAACTAATATATTTTAAAAATTTATCTCATTGCATTGGCCTTGGCAATATTTAGTAATATTTGCACACTCTTGTCAGATTAGAGGTTCCTTATTCTGACATATGTTCCGAATATTACTATTTAGTACAGCCCTTCTAATTACTCGCCCAGATTCCCTTTACCGTGGGTTGTGTTGTGATGTACGGCTTATAATTGTGGCCTATAGATCGACTCGAAAAAAACATACAAAAATTAAGTTTTCGGTCCTTTTCATCCCAAAATTATTATTATTATTATCATCGAAAATTGTAGGTGTTTTCCTTGAACATAACAGGAACTCAATGAAAAATTTCAAAGGGATCAGCGCTATATTTCTGTTCTCTACTTTGATAATGGGTTACTAAATAATCCCTGAATATGTAGACACGGTAAATATTTAAGTGTAACTCCCACATCCGTGTACATACAAGATAATATAATTGGTATTAATTTAAAAATTAGCCAATCCTCTTGAATATACTATCAACTTTTCGGATATATGCCTTTCAGGAGTAAATATGTATGCCATATAATACATACGTCATTTTTCACACAAAAGTCAGGGTCCATTTGGCGCGCTAAATATTGATCGATCTTTATCAAAACAGGCATGCTTATTCTTTGGCACGATCCCCTTCTCCATGTAAAAATTGGCGATGTTTGAGCCATAATTGCGGACCTGTAGCGATTAGAAAAACAGTCAAAAATCAATTTTTTGGTCCATTTCATCCCCTTAAATATTAACCGATCTTTACCAAGCTGTCCTATATGCACAATCTCGTGAAGATTGATCCATAACTGATCAAAATTATAATGGACAGACGGACATACATCGAGTACGCAGATGGCAAATATCGGACCACACATTCTGATACCGTTCTCACGAAATGTTCAAAATTTTGTTGAAAATAATTTTACAAAATCATGCGAAGGAAATATCCACTTTGAACCAAATTTTGCATCTGTATTGGTCCGGACCAAGCTCTCGAAGTTTCTGGCGAGTCACTGTAGATGTGTGCGGCCTAGCGTTGCCCTGGTGGAACACGACACCTCTCCTGTTGGCCAATTCTGTCCGTTTCTGGTCAATTGTAAATTGTTTAAAACAGTTTTATGGTGGATTTTTAGCTCCTGGGCGATGTTACGGCTGCTAACCGGTCAACTTCGATCATTTCTCCGATTTATGCATATTTAACATCAAAAGTTGCTGAACGGAATCTACGAAACCAAAATTGCATATAATTGGCTGTTACAGTATCGGAACCATAAACAACATTCACAATTTTATCCGCTTAGCTTGCATTTTCGCCTTTTTCAAAGAAAAACTGTAAAATGTCTCTTTGTTCACTTCCATTTTTAACACCATGTAACTAACAACTGAATGCACCAACAGCAAAATATTTTTTTTTTTTTTTGTACTGCAAAATGCCACCCTTGCAACGAGCATAAATCTGAAATTGTTTAATCGATACTTTACGAGAAATCTATCAGTACAGCCATCCGCCGTCGTAAAATAATGGATTTCTTTTTCCCCAACCTGATATTAAAAAAAAAACGTGTGTAAGCCTACTCCTTCTACTGCTTCCAGTACAAGATCGGTCTACTGGTTTTCCAGCTGCAATGGGCACTGCAAAGTACTTTAGTAAAAACAATGATTCGTAGGCAAACTAAAAAAGTTTGGTAGATTACATGTAGATTATTAATATGTGTGTTCTGTGTCCTATTAATATTATAACTTTAGATCTATGAATATATGTATATAGGAACCGTTAGATCACTTGCCGGCCTGGTTTAAAATATATTCTTAACACGAAAATTTTAGAACTGTATTAGTTATGCGTCGCTATGCATATGTGTAATACCAAATTTCTATATAATTTCTTTCACTAGGAGGAATGGAAATTGAATGTCGTAAGCTACAGATCGATGTCAGGGGATTTAAAACAAACCTAAGGTTAAAAATATCCAGAAAATGATTAACAAAGATTCACATCTTGGAGCATTTTTCGTAATTTTTACATTTCGAAAAGTTCTTACTTAGAGAGAATGTCAAATATTTCACACTCATATAACGTTGCTAAAGTAAAAAAAAAGACAAAGTAGCATTATCACTGGAGCCAGTATAACTCGATTTAAAAATGTTGTTACCAAGTAAGTTTTGATGAGGAAAATCCCTATTGTGACAATTTTTATGGTGAAATAATTTTAAAAAATTAATCATGGGTAAGTGACCCTAGTAACAAAGAAAAATATTCATGTTAGTGATCACGTTTTTTGTAAAACATCAAATTATGTCAATATTAAATAACACTAATTATTAAAAATGCCAAAAATATTTAACATTAAGAGTTATTTAATTCTTTAAACAAAAGCTTATGGTATGTCATCAATATCACGTTTTTGATTTCATTAATACCATAAATTACGTGCAGTGTGAAAATAACTGTTAAATGTGACAAAAATTAGTAGCTATCAACGATGATGACGATTAATTCTACTAATAATGATGTGTCAATTTACATACAATATTGTTGTGACGTGTCTTTTGCAGTCATCACAATTGTAAATCCTTCTTGTTTGTTTTTAGACAGCCAGCCATCTTTAAATATATGCCACTAACAACAATTCATTCTTCTTATCAGTGTAGGTTAAGTACTTCACAGTAGATATCATCATCACATATCACAGTGTTATGGCAACTCTAACACACATGGCCTGCTGTGCAATGCTATGGAATTTTCAAAGCAAAAACAAAGAACAGCTGTTGTCTTCGGGGAGTGAAAAGAGGCAATACGTCAGCCATATTGCAATATGAATTTTCTATGGAGTACAAAAACAAAACTGAGTGCAGAGTGCAACAATTTGTTGTTGTTGTGGACGTTTGTATTATTATTGCTGATGAGTAGCAAATAAAAAAAAAATTTCCGATTTGTCTTTTAAACGTGCCGATTTGCGGAATTATCAAGTAAATTTCTGCCATAGGACGACATATTGGTTTTTGTGTAAAACACACAGAAAATAGTGATAAGAAAGTTATTAGATGTCCCCCCTTTGTGTGTGCAAGAGAGTGGTTGAGTGGCAACAACAACTGAGAGCCAGTCTATCATACAGTGAGAGAGAGAAAGATTAGTTTTGCTGTCAACGACAATATTGGTGTGGGGCTGTGTTCGTTCGTTCGGCCTGCTATGTTTGGCATATTTAAAAGTGTTTAACACCGCCTCAGTATCGAACAGTTCACATTTGTGTACGCTCAGTAGCAAAACAACAAAGAAGAAATAAATAATACCACCTCATATAAACTGAGGCAAATAATAAAGTAAAAAAGATTTCAATTGTCAAAGGTACTTCAAATTAAATCAACTCAATTACTACGGTCGCCTTCTATACCAGTGCGTATAAAGGTTTTTTTTGACAGTTTCCATAAACTACAACAACAAAAACTAAAACGGAACATCCAAATCACAAAAGCTCAGATTACTTCGTCGTAATCTGTCCATATAACGTGTGAAGTTGATTTCCAGTCACAAAAATTTGCGTTTCGTATTTAATTGTGGAACAATTGACCAAATCAATTCATTTTCTTTTGTGCATCTAGCAAAGTGAGATATTCTAAACGAAGACTTCTTCTATCAGTGAAATAAAAATATACCAAAATTTTAACTGTGATTTTAGCATAGAAAAGACAAAACAACAAAGCAAGCAACATGATGAAATTCTTGGTTGGATTTTGCGTCTTGGCTGTTGTGGCCCCAGCTGTCTTTGGCGAACTTAAATGTAAGTATTTACCATATATTTTTTCCTATTTTATTTGAAATTTAATTGTGAGCAAGGTGTTTTAAATTCTTTAAATTAGTGAAAAAATGCGCATTTATTTCAAGAATATTTTTTGAAAAGAAAAATTCTAAGAAATAAATGGGCATACATACAGAAAACAAATTGTGTAAACAAGACAAAGAGCTGAGCACATACATAATTGGAATTTTGTTTTACTCTTTGTTTTGAAATGTCTACATTTCTCCCTCAGAGTTTTGTTTTGTTTCTTGGTCGCTCTCTGTTTATATTTTCTGTTAAGTCATGGTGGCCCTCGGTAGGTCTGTTAATAGTATACAGTTGCCAAATTTATTGTTTTTAAATTTTGTTTTCATCTATCATTCCCTAGTTGACCTAGAGTTTTTTTTATTTGCTTTCTTTTTGTTTTTTTCCAAACCGGTATTTTATTACCGCAGCTTCTCAACAACAAACCTTAAACGTCATTGAATGAATACCCCGTTGGGAGAAGAGAGTATTAGTTTAGGCAAAACAAAACTTGTTTAGCGACCGTTATACTTATTGCTTAATGCTTTTTTGCATAAGTTTTGTTAAAATTTTTGATTGCTACATTTTCGTATATTTTTTCCATAACAAAACAAATGTAGGACAAAGAAAAAAGTGAAAGTGTAACAAAACACAGCATGAAAATGTAACAAAATGTTGTTATGGACTTTAACATGCATTTGCAATGTTAATTGTTTTTACATTGGCTGTTGTTATTAACAGACAGTTTTATAGAACTCTGTAACAGAACATTGGCTTGTTATTAGAATATACATAATTGTAAATTATTATTACATGGGCTGTTGTCATTAACATGCAATGTTATCTTACTCTGTAACAGAACATTTGCCTGTTATTACAAAGTAAATTTACTGTTATCTCTATTTTCTGTGTAGAACTGTTAATTTTGTTGTCAGGGAAGAATTGTAATTTTTGTACTCTCTTCTTTACACTCTGTTATATTTTGCACACAGCCCCATTGTTTTGATTTTGTTGTTTATTTTTTTTTTTCTTTTCATTTTGTCCATACTTCCTATTTCCTTTGTTTTGTTGTTATTGGTAATATTTTTTTGTCTGTTTTTGAAGTCGAACTTTGGAGCTAATCCAACAGCATAATATAGTGGACAAAATGCGTCATAGATTATGTAAAGGCGATTACATTATTCAATATTTAGAAAACAGTATGATTTCAGTTTCATAAATTTGAAGATGAATATCCAGGGCATAAGAAAGAAACAAATTGAAAATATTATTATGTGGAGAAATAATTTCTTGAATTATTAGTTCATATTAAAATTTTATTAATGGAATTCTATTTTGTTTCTTATTAAAGACCAGTTTTAAGGGAATAATTATTAGGGACCTTAAAGGCAATATTGAGGATTGTTGTGAAGAGCATGAAATTGAAGCTCTCTAGTCATAAAATGTACACTCACTCAATATATGCCCAAACTTTCTTCAATATTATTTCCCCGTGAATAGTAGAATAAAAGGACCAATACCTTGGGAATATGAACTTTACATGGAATTCCAATTTCTTCGGAATATTAACATCCTATAAATGTTTGAATAATTTTGAACAGATCCTTAGGAAACAACCTCAAAAAACTTGTATTTTAAATTTGGGAACGACTTACAATCTGTGCCTCGAATTAGAATAAATTCAAAAGAAAATTCCACCAACGTTTGGTTAAGTTTCAAGTTGAACCTCAAAATAACCCCTCTGGGCGTACATTAGAATAAAATTTAAATATAGTCCATATAATGGACGGAACTCAAACTATTGGTTCTATCGAACCTTCTGCTTGCGAGGGCAGCATTTTTCAGTCGCCAATTCAATTTTTATGGAGTGAGGTGAGATGGCTTTCCCTGAACTTAGATCATTATGTATCATATAAATTAAAAAAAGAATATCAGCAAAGGATGAACAGGTCGCATGTTAAGTAGCACCACTATACAAACCATTCGAATAAATTTTAAATGAGGCCACGATGTAAACTGTTCTTTATATAACCAAAATGTTCACAGGAGGAGGAGGAGAATTATTTCAGAATTAGCATTTATCGGTCCTTTTAACAAGGATAAAGGTATTGTCATGAAATTTTTTCTGTCTTCCCATTTTTCGAAATGTGCAGATTTTCCCTGATCTATTTGCCAAAATTAAATGTTAACCTTATTAGGCCATAGTGAGACCAGATATTAAATTTAAAATTATAAACCCCCCTAGGAAGATATTTAATAAAGCAGAAATTAACTTGATCAGTGTAGAAGTTATAGTCATAAATTTTATAAAGTGGATAGGGCATTTCCCTCATTAAAATCATTTAACATTTTGATGATTAATTTGTTTATACAAAAATGATTTCATAATTAATTCGTGACCTTCTGTGGGCTTTTCCCCACTGAAACAAAACATATAATCTGTAAACCTTGGCATTGATCTACTAATTTGCGGGGAAGTCCCCATATTATAGTGATCTTATGTGGCAAAAAACTCGTAATTATAAACTCTAACTGCTCAAGTTTTTCTAAAATAAATTTCAATTAGTGTTTTCTTTTTAATTTGATAATCAATTCTTACCTTAACATTTAGAAAGTCAGAATCTCAATTGATTTTTTTTCTCCTTCTCCCCTTGGAGATCTCAAATTCAATTTTCAGAAATTCCTTTAAAAGTAGTCCATACAAACATATTGCTATATAGGACCCTCTTAGCCCCAAGTTCATAGTAATCATGATCCAAGTTAATACAGTCACTTCTCTCAAGTCATACCTTAAAATATAATTTCTTTAGGTGCAATTTTGCTCAATTAATTGGTATGCATCTCTTATGAATTTGAAATTCTATTTAAGTATTTTTTCTAAAATAAACATCTATTAGTAATTTTTATTTTAATTTAATAAACAATTCTTACCATAATAATCAAAAAGCCATCATTTTAATTTCTTGCCTAATTGCCTCTTGATGTAAATCTCCCCTCTCATTATTGACACTTTAGTATTCTTTGGTAATTTTTTGTTATATTTTTTCCTTCCTATAAAACTGATATGATCCATACAATATTATTTATTATATTTTGCATCAATTTTCCATTTAAAATTTAATTTCTTTCACCAAAAACCCCCCATATTTTTTTGAAGCCACGTATATTTGACCTCGTGTTCTTTTTTATGTAGAATTTCATAATGTGATGTCATTGCTGCATTGACTTGTGCTTCTCTCTCTTCTCCATCAAGGCGAGTTTTGCACACGGCTTGTTTTTTTCATGTCTGAGTAACGTGCAATGTGACAAGCAAGATCAAATTCAAGTCTTGATTACAACTCTCTCTCTCTCCCAGACTCTACTACTCCCACAATAAATTTCATAATGTATTTCGAGAGAATTCGAGAGATCCCCCTTGTTGTTGTCTCTTTGCAATAGGGTTTTGTTTTTGCACACGGCCAGAGATTCGTTTTCATTACTTTTTTGTGATGTCTCAGCAAAAACAAATTACAATAATTGTAGAAAAAAAGAATGAAACAAAAAAATCAAAACCACATGGCTCTTTTTTTGTGGTGTCACAAAGAAGAATAATTCTCACAATAGTACAAGTACACAAAGCCTCAATGCCTATCAGATTTTTAAATTGTTTATTTTTAATATGGATAAATAGAGAGTACTCCCTATGGGGGTTAATGTACTCTATTGAATTGTTTTTGTCGTCTTTGTTGTGAAAATAAAGCAAATCAAATTGGATTTTTTCAACCATATGGGAAATAGAAGAAGGCAATTTGAAGGTATTTTTTACTGCAATTTTATGTCTTATAAAGCATCAAGAAATTTTCGAAAGTGGAACAGAACTTCATTTATAGTAAAAATATTAAAAAAAAACATAATTACAATCGTCTTTCTTATTACCTTAGTGCAGTTGCACTGAAAATCCCATCCGATCTTCTTACTAAACAAATTCAAGATACTTGAATAAAAGCCCCCCTATGTTGCTAACAAATCCAAATTTTCTGAATAAAAGTTCCCTAAGTATTCGGTTTTCTTTCCCCCTCGCCCCTTGGCTTTTGCACACGGTTTATTTATATTTCAAACATAAACAAATAATCTAGAAATCAATCGAAACAACAACAACAACAACAACAAGTTTCTACAAATGTGCCTTCGACAACAACAATTATATAGACGTAAACAAAACAAAATCACCGCAGCCATGATGTATTTTTGTTGTTGTTTTTCCTACTTGTCGTCTAGCAGCCAGCCAGCATATCAGCCAAAACAAATGTGATGATAACAATTCACATGAATCTTATGAAATTCAAATCGTGAGAAGTAGCTACTACAAATATTACAGAATAATTTGATAGCAGTTCTCTAACAGAAAATAATGACAAAATAATAAATATGATTTTCCTTCAAGGTAATGAGTTCAGGTTGTAAATCTCTATAAGAGATTAGTTCCAAAAATCAGTGATTTTAAAATAATCGATTTTTGAAGGCTATAATAAATTTGGGTCCCCTCGATGTAATCAGTTGAGTCTTTTATGTAATTTCTATAAGATATCCCAAAAACAGTGATTTGAAACTAATCGCTGTCCCTACAGCTGAGTCAATATTTTGCACACGAATCTTTCCCGCAATAACTGCTCATTAGAAATTTCAACCCCACTCAGTATGTCATCAATATTTGAAATTCTCTACTCTCCCTTTTTTCAATAATTGTAACATTATGAAATTCCCATAGAGAAAATCTACCCCTCCCCCCTTTTCAATTTTTTTCTAAGATCATGAAATTCCCATACAAACAAAATCAACCACTCCTCCTTTGGATTTGTGTGTTCAATGATCTTGAAATACCCATAGACAAAGATCTCTCCCTCCTCGTTGACATGCTATTCTATGATATTTCCCATGACCATAGATTTGTGATCATCCCCCTTACTGCGTTTATTCTAATTGTCGGCTATTATGTTTTTTTCTTTGATTAGCCTGCCACGTACTTTTTTCTATTGATTTCAAAATCTTACCCTAGATGTCAACGGAAGTTGGCAATTGAATGTGAAATCATTATAAAAACAAATTGCGAAATAAAATATCTTCCGAGTAGTTCTCGGCATGATGTTCTTTTGTGAGCCTCTCAGTGGGAATGGGAAAATTGTTGCTCTAAATTAGATAAAAGGTCTTGAATGAATATCGAATTTAAAGAAAAAATCTAGAAATTCATTAAAAATTTGAAAATGTATTACCCTATAAAGATATCCCCTAATTGAGTCAAATTGTTGTAGGAATTCCATAACAATCTTCATGATGATATTGAAAATTAGGTCCACAATATAATTGCAAATTTATTACACGAAATACTTCAAATCATTGATTAATGATTTTTGGAGAAATTGCTACATAAAGCTTTTTTGGTCTCCTCCAAATGTCATTATGAATCCTTCTCTACGGGTTTTGAAAAGTAACCACAAAACAAAAAACATCCGAAGGGAATATAAATCCGTTGATATTTAAATCAAAGAATCTTCATAGCATTTATTTTCACTTTAAAACACTTTGTTTCTTTTTATCAAATTTTACCTCCCATTATCCCTTTTAAAATTCTCCATTACTAATTGATTTTCTATTTTCAATTTGTATTGCATTTTAGGTTCCGTACCAAATCCCGAAATCCCTACCGAATGGATTGATTTGCGCGGTGACTGTTTGACAGCCATGCGTAATCAAATCCAAAAGGAAATCGATGCTTCCTATCAATACTTGGCCATGGGTGCTCACTTCTCTCGTGATACCGTCAATCGTCCCGGTTTTGCTGATTTGTTCTTCAAGTCTGCCAAGGAAGAACGTGAACATGGTGCTAAATTGATTGAATACTTGACCATGCGTGGTCAATTGACCGATCGTGTTACCGACTTGATCACCATTCCCGTAAGTAAAAAACTTTTTCTAAACGCAAAAAAATTACTCACATATTTGTGTTTTCTTTTTTTCTCATTTTCCTTACAGACTGTCTCCAAGGACGAATGGCAATCTGGTGCTGAAGCCTTGGAAGATGCCTTGAAATTGGAAACCGAAGTCACCAAGTCCATTCGCAAATTGATTGCCACCTGTGAAAAGAAGCCCAACTACTATCATTTGGTTGACTACTTGACCGGTGTCTATTTGGAAGAACAATTGCACGGACAACGTGAATTGGCTGGTAAATTGAGCACTCTCAAGAAGATGATGACCAACCATGGTGCTTTGGGTGAATTCTTGTTCGACAAGGATTTGTAAATTTCCCCTTTTCGTATTTTGGAAACGTGATGGAAGCACACTCATCTTAACAGCCATGAGATTTTTTGTTTACTAAATTATTATAAACTATTGTCAAAGAACATTCTATAGCTGTGCTTTTATTTCAATTAATTACTAAATCCATATGTTAAAATATTAAATTAGAAATATATACACAAAAAAGTATTGTTTATTGCTTTAAATTATCTGAAAAAAAAATACACACATTTTGTTTTCTTTTTATTCTACAAATTTTTTTCATAAAGGTTAGGTTATTGGCTTTAGTTTTCGTTTCAAAATTTATAATAATTTTTCTAACACTTTTTTCACTGCTATTATAAATTTCTTCTTTTTCTTTGCATTTAACATCATTACTTCCACACATTGTATGTTTTATTGGTTGGCTTTAAATGGAATCATCGCTTATCTTTAATTAAAAAAAATATATTTCCATGAGACACAAGCTAGCCAACCAACCAACCACCACCCTCCATGCAACAAAAGTCTTCGTTAATTCTTTTTGTGATGATTTATTTACTTATTAATAAGTTTTTGTTTTGTTTTCTATTTTTTTTTGTTTGTTTATCATTTCACATGGATTACAACTGCTCGTATGGGACAGCCATTATAAATTTTAAGTGAATCATAAATTTTCCCCAATAAACGCAAAAATTATAAATTCAAAATAAATCACATTCAAATCGACAATGTCGTCATGGCTTGTCGCGTCATTTACACAGAAATTATAAATATGAAGTAATGATTTTAGTTTTAGAAAATAAAGGCATACTTATAGTAATGTATGTGTTATCTATCATTATAAATAATATTATTTTATTATTCGTCAATTATGCTACAATAAATAAATGAATTAAATTATAAAAATAAAAAATAAATCGTTTCCATTTTTTAAAACATAATTTTTATTGTTCTAGTAGTATTCGAAAAATATAACAAATATCTGATAGTCCAAAAAAGATTGGCATATAGGTCTTCGATGAAATATTCTTCAAACAACCAGGCCTTTTGGTCCTTGAAAAATATTCTTAAAACAACCAGGCTTACTGGCCCGTGGGTCCTTGAACAAATAATTTAAAAAAATATATATTTTTTATAGAAAAACCATACCTAAGGATACTTCAATGGATACTTGAGAAAATGCACATCTTTTTGGTCATTGGTATGTTGATTCTTGAAAAAATGCACATCATTTTGGTCATTGGTAAAAAATATCCTTTAAAAAATCCACGTTTAATGGTCTTCTGGTCCTTAAAAAATATTCTTTAAAAAATCCACGTTTAATGGTCTTCTGGTCCTTAAAAAAATATTCTTTAAAAAATCCACGTTTAATGGTCTTCTGGTCCTTAAAAAAATATTCTTTAAAAAATCCACGTTTAATGGTCTTCTGGTCCTTAAAAAAATATTCTTTAAAAAATCCACGTTTAATGGTCTTCTGGTCCTTAAAAAAATATTCTTTAAGAAATCCACGTTTAATGGTCTTCTGGTCCTTGAAAAAATATTCTTTAAAAAATCCACGTTTAATGGTCTTCTGGTCCTTGAAAAAATATTCTTTAAAAAATCCACGCTTAATGGTCTTCTGGTCCTTGAAAAAATATTCTTTAAAAAATCCACGCTTAATGGTCTTCTGGTCCTTGAAAAAATATTCTTTAAAAAATCCACGCTTAATGGTCTTGTGGTCCTTGAAAAAATATTCTTTAAAAAATCCACGCTTATTGGTCTTGTGGTCCTTGAAAAAATATTCTTTAAAAAATCCACGCTTAATGGTCTTCTGGTCCTTGAAAAAATATTCTTTAAAAAATCCACGCTTAATGGTCTTCTGGTCCTTGAAAAAATATTCTTTAAAAAATCCACGCTTAATGGTTTTCTGATCCTTGAAAAAATATTCTTTAAAAAATCCACGCTTAATGGTCTTCTGGTCCTTGAAAAAATATTCTTTAAAAAAATATTCTTTTGAAAAATAATTTTTAAAAAATCCACGCTTGTCTTCTGGTCCTTGAAAAATAATTTTTAAAAAATCCAGCTTAATGGTCTTCTGGACCTTGAAAAAGGTTTTTTAAAAAAATCCACGCTTCATGGTCATCTGATCCTTGAAAATATTCTTTAAAAAATCCACGCTTAATGGTGTTCTGGTCCTTGAAAAATCATCTTTTAAAAATCCACGCTTAATGGTCTTCTGGGCCTTGAAAAAATATTCTTTAAAAAAATCCACGCTTAATGGTCTTCTGATCCTAGAAAAAATATTCGTTTAAAAATCCACGCTTAATGGTCTTCTGGGCCTTGAAAAAATATTCTTAAAAAAAATCCACGCTTAATGGTCTTCTGATCCTAGAAAAAATATTCGTTTAAAAATCCACGCTTAATGGTCTTCTGGTCCTTGAAAAAATATTCTTTTAAAAATCCACGCTTAATGGTCTTCTGGTCCTTCAAAAAATATTCTTTTAAAAATCCACGTTGAAACCTATTCTTTAAAAAAATCCACGCTTAATGGTCTTCTGGTCTTGAAAAAAATATTCTTTAAAAAATCCACAATATTCTTTAAAAACTCTTAATGGTCTTCTGGTCCTTGAAAATTATTCGTCAAAAAATGCACGCTTATTGGTTTTCTGCTCCTTGAAAAATATTCTTTAAAAAATCCACGACTCTGTTGGTCTTTAAAAAATCGTTGCCTATGTTGGTGATTAAAATAATCCAGACTTATTGTTTTTTGGTGCTTAAACAAATATTCTTCAACCATCCATTTATAGTTCAACAATTATCTATTCCAAAAATATTAATTTTTCTTTTGGTAATCTATCAGAACTATGACATTTTTGAAGTTTTTATTAAGAGCGGAGATAATAAAACTTTTTTAATAATACACCATGAAATAAAAGACGAAGCGTATCCGCACAAAAAATTAAACAAAAAATAGCCACAACAAATTATTGTTGCAAATAAATCTTTCCCGTTTTTTTGATATCTTCAAAAAAAGGACAATAAAAAGAAAACACTTCATGGATATGCAAGTTTCATTGTACTCTCATGTCGTCTGATGGCCGAACTTAATGGCGGCGAATATTTATCTGTCTATCTGATGCGATACGATGCGATGTGATGCATGCATAAAATAACGAACGTGTTGAAAGCCCAACCATGAAATTGTGAATATTTGGGAATCCGTTTTTTTCACGGTTACCACCACTAACAAAAAACGTTTTCGTATGCTGGGCAAACGGCGGGTGCCAAATTTACGAGCAATTGTTGTGATATATTTAAGATTAATGATCCAAAATGTCAACTGTCAAATGTCGCCATAAACCAAAACGTCGTGATGCTGCAGGAGCAAAAAACACGTTGCAGGACAATCTCTTGTCAAAACAAAAGTTTAAATAACATTTTGTTTCGTTGTTGACGATGATGGTCAAAGTGTAACAAACGAAAATAAATTGTTGGTTTTGGTGTTTATTTTTTGGTGTTTTATTCATTTGCTAACATAAAATTTGTCCCCTATTGGATGTTAAGTTGTGTTAAGGGGTTAAATGTTAGGTAAAGAAAAAAATAGAAGAAAATATATACCAATATTGATATGTTAGTTTCTTTAAAAAGTCCAAACTTATTGGTCTCATGGTCTTTGAAAAAGTCAAAACTTATTTGTCTCATGGTCTTTGAAAAAGTCAAAACTTATTTGTTGTGATGGTCCTTGAAAAAGTCAAAACTTATTTGTTGTGATGGTCCTTGAAAAAATATTCTTTAAAAATCCACGCCTATTGTTGTGATGGTCCTTGAAAAAATATTCTTTAAAAATCCACGCCTATTGTTGTGATGGTCCTTGAAAAAATATTCTTTAAAAATCCACGCCCATTGTTGTGATGGTCCTTGAAAAAAAATTCTTTAAAAATCCACGCCTATTGTTGTGATGGTCCTTGAAAAAATATTCTTTAAAAATCCACGCCTATTGTTGTGATGGTCCTTGAAAAAATATTCTTTAAAAATCCACGCCTATTGTTGTTATGGTCCTTGAAAAAATCCACGCTTATTGGTGCCTTGGTCCTTGAAAAAATATTCCTTAAAAAATCCAAGCTTATTGGTGTCTTGGTCCTTGAAAAAATATCCTTTAAACATTTTTTTTTAAAAAATTCTCGCTTATTGGTCTTGTGGTCCTTGAAAAATATTCTTTAAAAAATTCACGCTTGAAGGTCTCATTGTCCTTTAATTTTTTTTAAATCCTCGCTTATTGATCTTGAGGTCCTTGAAAAATATTCCTTAAAAAATTCACGCTTGAAGGTCTCATTGTCCTTTAATTTTTTTTTAAATCCTCGCTTATTGGTCTTGAGGTCCTTGAAAAATATTCCTTAAAAAATCCACGCTTATTGGTCTCATTGTCCTTTATTTTTTTTTAAATCCTCGCTTATTGGTCTCATTGTCCTTTATTTTTTTTTAAATCCTCGCTTATTGGTCTTATGGTCCTTGAAAAACATTCTTTAAAAAATCCACGCTTATTGGTCTCATGGTCCTTGAAAAAATATTCTTTAAAAAATCCACGCTTATTGGTCTCATGGTTTTTGAAAAAATATTCTTTAAAAAATCCACTCTTATTGGTCTCATGATCCTTGATAAATATTCTTTGAAAATCCACGCTTCTTGGTGTTTTGTTCCTTGAAAAAATATTCTTTGAAAGTCCACGCTTATTGGTGTTTTGGTCCTTGAAAAAAATATCCTTTGAAAATCCACGCTTATTGGTGTTTTGGTCCTTGAAAAAATATTCTTTAAAAAATCCACGCTTATTGGTGTCTTGGTCCTTGAAAAAATATTATTTAAAAAATCCACGCTTATTGGTGTCTTGGTCCTTGAAAAAATATTCTTTAAAAATCTACGTTTATTGGCCCTTGAAAAAAATCTTTAAAAAATCCACGCTTAATGGTCTTCTGGTCCTTGAAAAAATATTCTTTAAAAATCTACGTTTATTGGCCCTTGAAAAAAAATCTTTAAAAAATCCACGCTTA